CCTTTCTTTGAAATTTCCTTGAAATTTCCTTTCCTTTCCTTCATAGACTTTTCCCTGTCTTTTTGTTAGAAGCCATTAACATTTTGTAACAGCCTTTCCTTTCAAACAAACCATTCCAGTATTGTGCATTTCACTGCTTATTACAATTTACTTTCTCCAAACAGAATCTTCACACACCCACATTGACTCTGAAGCAGAGGGGTCACCACCTCCTCCTCCTCCTCCACCACCTCCACCTCAACCTCCTGCTCCTGCTCCTGCTCCTGCTTCTGCTTCTGCTTCTGCTTCTGCTCCTGCTCCTCCTCCTCCTCCTCCTCCTCCTCCACCTCCACCACCTCCACCTCCTGCTCCTGCTCCTGCTCCTGCTCCTCCACCTCCTCCTCCTGTTGCTGTTCCTGCTGCTGCTCCTGTTCCTGTGGGTAAGTGTGCTTGGTGCTTTTCAAGCAATTAAAGTCACTTGAATGTGGGTTCCCAGACAGAATCTCCCTTCATGCTGCACAGCTTCTCTGGGCAAGCAATACTTAAATATAAACGCAAAGGAGTAGTAAAACTAGTGCTAAGAGAAATGTTCTGAGACTTTTTTCAGAAGAGATAGGGGATGGTGGAAGCCAACACATGGATTAAAATTATTACTCTAATGTTTTCTATTATTGGCTCCTATTTCCTTGTGGGGTTTTTTGGTTTCAGTTTGGGTTTGGATGCTTGGTTGATTAGAATTTTTTGGTTTTGGGGAGTGGTTGAGGTGTGTGGGTGGGTGTTTGATTTTTGATTTTTTTCTTTTTTTACTTCTTTTAATTGCTTGCTTGCTTTCTTTTTAACCAAAGGCTTTTCCCTGTCTTTCTGTTTAAAACCACTGACATTTTGTAATCACCTTTCCTTGTAACCATAACTATTTCCATTCTGTGCATTTCCTTGCTTATTAAAACTTACTTTTACTAAACAGATCTTCTTCAGCCTCACATTTCACCCCAAGCAGCTAGTAGAGCTCCTGCTCCTATTCCTGCTCCTGCTGATAAGTGTGCTTTTCAAGCAATTACAGGATGTGGGTTCCCAGCCAGCATCTCCCTTCATGCTGCACAGCTTCTGTAGGCAAACGCAACAACACTTAATTGTAAATGCACAAAACACTGAATTGTAAATGTAGCATTCCATAATGTAGCATTAAAACTAGCGCAAACAGAAATGTTCAGAGACGTTTTTCAGAAGAGGAAGGGGATGGTGAAAGCTAAGACAGGGATTAAAATTTTTGTAATTTTTAGTAGTTTTTAGTAGGTTTTTTTTTTTCCTAGTGGTCCCCATTTGCTTGGTTATTTTTATTTTTGTTTGTGTTTGGTTGCTTGGTTGTTTGGATTTTTTTGGTTTGGGGGAGTGTTGGTGGCAGGTGGATGGGTATTTGGTTTTTGATTTTTTTTCTTTCATTACTATTTTTAATTTTTTAAAAGGCTTTTTCCTTTCTTTCTGTTTTAAACCATTAATGTTTTTGCAATAGCCTTTCCTTGCAACCACAACCATTGCAGTTCTTTGCATTTCCTTGCCTTTTAAACTTTGCTTTCTCTAAGTTGTAGAAATTTGTCAGACTGGGCTTTTTTCTTTTCACCCTCTGTCTTGCATTTTTTTTCTTGGAAAAAGTGTAGAACAGAATTCAGTAAATGTGGACCTCAAATAATTGTAACTTTTTCTTAGTACTGTTAATAGTGAATAGTTTATTTACTTTGAAACATGTGAATGTTCTTACATTCACATAGTAGTGATAGTAAGTAAAGTAAAATCTGATAGTGTCGTGGGTTTGACATTGGCTAAAAGCCAATGCACCTACAAAAAATCCTTTTCCTTTTCTCCTCTGCCACAGTTGAGCAGAGGAGGGGGAAAGAACAATTAAAAAGCTCATCGGCTGAGATAAGGATTAGAAGTAAAAGACTTTAAAGGCAAAACAGGCTCAAAACTTTAAAATATATAAAGAAGAATCTATTAATGAAATTTAAAAAGAATCATGAGATTTAAAACCCTTCCATAGCCCTTCTTTCCTTCTGACCAACAACAGAGGGAGACAAAACATGGGGCTTTTAGTCAGTTTGTCACTTCTAAAAGTCTTTCTTCAGTCTGCTTAGGGAGAGGTGGTTTTTTGCTATGCCATGGAGTCTCTTCCACAGGAGACAGTTTTCTATGAATTTTTCCAATGTGATTCTAATTTTCACGAGCAGCAGCCCCGCCCAAATTTGCTGCAACATGAGTCACTCCCAAGGGCAAAGAAGTCTTCCCACAACTGTTTTTTCATGGGCCATTTGGTTCATGGGGTTTTGTTTTAAGGATAAGCTGTTCTAGTATAAAAGCAAAGGTATTTTTCTTCTATCTCTGGAAGCAAGGCGTCTCTCTCTCTTTCAAGTCTTTCATTTGATCACAGCTTCTCAGCATCCACACATTGCAGGATGAGCACCTTTTTCTCACAGGCTGCAGGTGATTTCTGTATTCTCCCACACACTTAATGAATTACAAGGAAATAGATTGTTGTGTTATAGTCCTCACCACAGCTTGCAGGAGAATTTCAGCTCTGAGGCCCAGAGCACCTCCTCCTCCCCCTCCCTCTTCTGCACCAACCTTAGTGTCGCCATGTTGTTCTCCTCGCATGTCTTCCCCTTTTCCTTTTCTCTGACTCAGGAGAGAATTAGTGTTCGTAAGTTCATTTGTTCTCAAGTTCTATCAATTGAAAAGTTTTATAGACCTCTGCAGCGTTGAAAGGTTGATCCCATGCAGGCTTCACCCTGGGCAATTGCTCGCCATGCCCCTCACACTGATCACACGGCTCCCGCCGGCGCCATGCGGGACGCGCCAGCTGCCAGCTCCACTCAGTGCCTCTCTTCATGCGGCGCACCAAAAAGGGGAAGAAAAATCCACTGCCACTACTTCTGGTCCTTCTGTTGGCAGCATGGCTGGCTAAAAGCAGCTAAGCAAATAAAGTTCACAGTGAGCCACACTGAGACAGCCGCACCACATGGCGCCAGCCTGGCTGTGCCCATCTTGGCTGCGCTGTCCTGGCCACATGGCCAGCCCTGGACCAGGAAGACCCTGGCACCCACCTCTCCGAGGAAGAAAAAGAGAGTTCCCAAGGTTTTGTCTTTCATAAATAAATTATCATAGAGGCATTACAAGCTTTTGTAATTGACTTAGCAGTGTGCCTATTCTCAGAGGGAGACAGCGATTGGTTTTGCCTGGCATGGAGGAAGCTTTTAGCCCCTCCTCACAGAAATATCACTTTCATGGCTGGCTTCTTTCCTCCTGAACAAAAATAAACCCATGCAAAACCAACATATGCCACAAAAGAGAATTTTCCAGCTACTGAGATGATGGCAGACATGAAAGAATGGAGATATCAGTACAGGCAAAACAGAAAATTATACTGACAGTGTTTACTTATCTGGAAGTGTCTGTAATACACCAAGCAGTGATGTCTCCCAGAAACTAATTTTTTACAGGAGTATTAGCAATTCTTACCTGATTTTAATCAACTGAGCATCACTTGCCAACATTACTACATAGCCAAGGAATGCACATATCCCAGCACAAATGCTCTCCTTGTCATGTGTCTTTGCTTACACAAGTAATACTTGTAACCAAATATTATAAATCATGCAGTTTAAAATAATAACAATATGAAACTTATATTATAAATCACATTATGTAACTTAGGACAAAGTTTTCAAAAACACATTAGTTCAACCCCACACGTGCTATTTGGTAAAGAAAATGCCTTTTCTATGCAAAAATTGTTTGATACTCAGTATTCTAGTTATGTGAACTTTTAACTTGTCATGCTGTTGTAACATACTTGACTATTACAGTAATTTAATTAAAATGTTGCCTGCAACAATATGCCTGACTAATATTTGAAGAACGTTAAGTGTTGATTTCAATTAATAGTGAAATATATCCAAAAACAAATAAATCCCTTCTGTGGCCAACAGGGCAAGTGTTCCCCAATAACAGTGACAGGGAGACTGTAGAAGAAGTGTGTTTACTTGATTAAAAAACACAGCCTTGGAATTATAATGATGAGGGATAAAAGATCTCTGTAAGTATTGTGTAGCACATCAAATAAAGTGCCATTGTTTTACAGCCCTTCTGAGGGCAGGATACTTGTGCTAATGTCCTTTGTCTGTTAAAGATTAGTATCTATAATCAGGTGCCGTGTGTTTCAAATAAGCACTTAAGAAGCGAATAGTTATAAGTACTTCACATACATACCCTTGTGAGAGGTATTTAACAGGAAACGTAGATTTGCTCTTGATTTGTTTTTCTATTTTTATTATTCCAGCACACAGGGGAGAGCTTAGACTCAGAACCTATACTATTTCTGGAACTGACACAACATCCACTGTGGCACCAGACAGAGCTGTGCCTGTACCCAGCATGCCCTCCAGTGTGGTACCACGCAGAACGCGCACTCTGTATACAACTGACAGACTCTCCAGTGTGGCACCAGACAGAGCTGTGCCTGTACCCAGCGTGTCCTCCAGTGTGGTACCATGCAGAACGCGCACTCTGTATACAACTGACAGACTCTCCAGTGTGGCACCAGACAGAGCTGTGCCTGTACCCAGCGTGCCCTCCAGTGTGGTACCACGCAGAACGCGCACTCTGTATACAACTGACAGACTCTCCAGTGTGGCACCAGACAGAGCTGTGCCTGTACCCAGCGTGTCCTCCAGTGTGGTACCACGCAGAACGCGTACTCTGTATACAACTGACAGACTCTCCAGTGTGGCACCAGACAGAGCTGTGCCTGTACCCAGCGTGCCCTCCAGTGTGGTACTATGCAGAACGCTCACTCTGTATACAACTGACAGACTCTCCAGTGTGGCACGAGACAGAGCTGTGCCTGTACCCAGCGTGTCCTCCAGTGTGGTACCACGCAGAACGCGCACTCTGTATACAACCAACACATCATCCAGTGTGACACCAGACAGAACAGGTTTTGGATCATCAATGGACATATCCTCCCACAGGATATCCGACAGAAGTTACTGTTTGTCTGCGAGCAGCATACCCTCCAGTGTGACACCAGACTGTCCAATATGTCCACCGATGACCCAAAACCTAAGTACGAGTTTTGGATCATCAATGGACATATCCTCCCATGCGATATCCAACAGAAGTTACCGTTTGTCTCCAAGCAACATATCCTCCAGCGGGACACCAAGCAGAGCAAACATTGGGTCATCAAGGGACACATTCACCAACCTGACACCAACCAGAAACAGTACTGGGTCATCAATGGGTGCACCCTCCCATATGACAGGGAGCAGAACTGGTACTGGGTCTTCAGTCAACAAAACCACACAGAACTAGTTCTTTGCCTTCAATCAAGTCTTTCAGCCTGAAGGTCTTACCCAGCGCCAGAAGAAATCAGGGAATTTAATTATTGGATGTGACAGTTTTCTTGAGCAATATCCTAGCTTCTCTTCAGAAGAAAAAAAAATCCAGCAGTGTAAAAAGACCTAATTAAAGCATAATTTAAAAAGGAGTAATTAAAGTACCAACCTTTGTGTAGTAGTTCAATGTATGTAGTTTTTGGTTGTGACAGCTGTAGGTGGCCCAAAGCTGCACAGATAATGTGGCATAACAAGACAGCAACTCAACCAGCCTAATCCATTGGATAGTAGAAGCAAACAAGTCCTCGGGTGTGTTACTGATAGGCTGGATTCAAGTTCAAACAGGGGACTTTAGCCAATCCATTTGAACCATGAATGCACCCATATCATTGGCCAGTGAGCTGGCAGAGCTAAGACCCTTGTCCAATCAGCTATGTAAGAGTGGGAAATTTGAAGCCCCTATAAAAGAGGGTGCCTTTTGTTGTTTTCCCAGCTTTTACAGAGACGGCGCAACTGAGAGGCATTTAAAAAGATTTGATTCCATTATCAGTCTAGATGAATAGTGAGACACAAGAGATGTAAAACTCAACGCCATTCCATCAGAAGCCAACCTATTTCCTGGTTACAATACCTTATAAATGTTTTTCAACCTATTAGCTTTTGCCACAAAATGCTGCTATTACCTCTAACACCAATCACCTCTATTTTTCCCCACATGGTCCTGCTACAATGCATCTTTCACAGTTCTAATTCTCTAAAATATCTAGTCTTTTTGCAGGGCCATATTTTGAAACTTGTTGAAACTTTTTTCTAGTACAGTCTCTCTCTCTCTCTCAGCAACGTCATTTCTATTCCATGGCCTTCCTAAGTCAGCACACCTTATCTCAGTGTTTGCATACAGGTGTACAAGACTGTGAGCTTTCTGTCAGGTTTTGAGAATTCTTCACAAATCCATTTCCCACAGCCATTCAATAAACATTGGCTGTTGCTGCATGAGCTCAGTGTGTGTGTATGTCACATTCCTGTCTCTGCCATCAGTGACTTTTGTCTGTAATTTCATATTTTTATGAAAATATGCATTCATATCTTCACATTTCTGTGTTTCTAATTATTTGTATACCTAAGCACTTGTTTTTCTTAATTCTTACTTATTGCAGTGGTTATTTAAAATGTTATAAAAAACCACCTTTTGGGTCATTTTCCTAATTCTTAAAAAAAAATATCCACCAGCCATTTTAGTCTCTGTCTCTCAAAGTTGTTTCATACCTGTCTATTTTAAACCAGGACTAAAGTACTTTAATAGGATTGAGAGAGGTCCATGAAATGCACACCAGTGATTCCTCTTGTGGAATGTCATAGCCCTGCCATGAGGCTCTTTTTTTATTGGTGTTTTTTGTTTGTTTGTTTGGTTTGTTTTTCTTTCCTCCTCATCAGTGTAACTGCAGCCACACATTGAGTTGCAAACTTGAGCCAGATGAGCGGAATAAAAACAATGTGATGGGCCTTTGGGAGCACCCTTGCTGATCTTTCTGTTTTTTCCATTGAGCAAGACTCTGATCCAGGCAAAGAGATTGTACTTGGTGCTACACAACCATTTGGCAGGAATTCTGCTGATTTCTAGGAACAGCTGGAGGCCTCTATCTCCCCAGGATGTTTTGGCCGTCCCAGGCTTTGTTGGGTTTTGGCTGCAAATACCATTGCCTTTGCTTTCTGATCTAGAAGTACCATGGCTGGGCAAAAACTACCATTTTTATATGTGGGCTATATATTTCAAAGGCAGTTTGGTCTGGAGTTTGTGAATGAAGGAGACCTTTATCCAATTCCAAACCACATGAAAAAAATCATAAAGGAGAAGTTCTCATCCTTAGCAAACAACTGACAATTCAGAAGGGAATGTAGAGCTTATTTACGGAATGAAAAGGAAGGGAATCTTCCAATGGAGTTGTGGTTTACAGAGTTTTTATTCCGACTCCCACTCACAGCTGGCACTGGAGAAAGCCATGTCCCTGGAAGTGTCAGTGTCTTCTGTCTGCCATGAATTGTTTTGCTGCAGCAATCAGAGGCATCATGGTGGAGAGAGGCTCAGCTGATGTTAGGAACAGGAGCTGCCCCAAGGAGAAAAAAAGAAATGAATTTTTACTTCCCAAATTCATCTCCGCACAGGCTCAAGCAGGATTCCTCTGGTTCCCAGAAATACAAAGAAATAGGGCTGAGAAGGCCATCTGGACATATGTGTTCATGCCCAAGATCTTGCTGATGCCATTTGGGTTTTGCCTTTTTTTCTATGTTTTCTATATTCTTTGCATATATGTTTGTAGCTCTGTATCCTACTGTATTAGTGACCAGTTCTCCTAATACTTTTCCAAGTCCTTTCCCTAAGCAGAAAGACAAAACAAATTCCAGAGCTCCAAGCGCTGGGGGATCCAAGGCCCTGGTGCCATCTTGGTTCTTCCTGGCACACAAGAACAACTCTTTGAGATGCATTTTAATGGACAAAGTACAGCCAGTGCCAAGAGGGGGGACTCTAGAGAAGGAACTTGACCTGGGGGGGAATTGCATCACCACTTGTTGTCCTAATTAGTGCTTTTTATCAATGATGCTAATTTCCTAAAACCTACAAATATGTACTCATCTCTGGAGGGATTGGGCTTTTGTGGACATCTTTCCATAACTGCCCCTGAAAACCTCCAAGTGAAGATCCATTTTTTTATTATCTCCCTACTAAAATTATCTCTACTTTCATTTCCAGGCTGAAAAAAAGGCAACATTGCCATCACAGGCAAATGTGGCTCATAATCTCACTAATCCATTCATCAAGGTATCTTCAGTTTGCTGCCAGCTCTTTGGGAATGCTGCTTGCTGTCCAAGAATTTTGTTCCTTTCAGGAATCTCAAGATACTTGCTTAAGTTCCCCTTTTCTACAGACTTGGGCTATTGTTGAAAAAAATGAGGGGCACAAACCATTGCTTAGGCAACTCCAAGAAGTCTAAGAAACGTTGATCCCAGTAGGTCTTAGGCCCTCGTTCTGTCAATTGACAGGAGTGTTTTAAAGGACATAGACACCAATGGAAAGAAAGATCGTATTTTACTAGGAATATTAAGGCAAGAGAAAAGTGAAACAATACATTCAAAAAGACTGTGTGCTTGGCTTTAGTGACAAGCGAAAACAGGCAAGGTAATCTCATTACTATATGAGAGACAGGACAGTGATTGAGAAAGATCCATCACCAATGGCCTGAACGCTTTACCATTGTCCAGAGTCCACAGTTGCCATGGAGCCCCATTTCATAGAGAGGACCTGGAGAAATCTTCCCAGCAGCTGGTAAAATCCTCACCTGTAGCTGAGTGTCCAAATTCACCCTGAAAGTGGGTCCAGCTTTTATAGGCCCAAATCACCAAGTCAAAGTGACTTGATTACATCTTTAGCATAGAAACACGTGGATCTGATGGCACACTTCCTGACCAGCAGAGGCAGGGGCTTGGCCAAAGCCCAGGCCTTGTCTGGAGGTTTCCCTTAAATACCCTATGAACAAGCCTCTATTCATATCAGTTGGGAAGATTTCTTAAAATTATACATTTCTTGCAGATATTTACACAAGGTTATGTGTAGGTTTCTGAAGCACTTGTTTGGTGTTAAACGGCTAGCATAAACAATAATGATGGTGTTAGTCCCATAACGCCCAGGGTTCATCTTATAAGTCAGCTTTGGCTGAGGCCTGCTGCTCAGACCTAACTACCTCAGCCCTCTTACTGTGTTCACTTTCCCCAGCAAAAGTCGTATTTGTTTAAAGTTAAATTGTAATAAGCAGTATTTAATGATACTCAGTTTGTGCTACAGTAATTTCAGTTTTATTAATTTTTTTTTTAAATCAAAATGTATTAAATTTAAAATGCTAAGCAACAAACTCAGGCCTAGATTTTCTATACTGTGAATATTTGAAAGGGTTAAAAGATTAATGTGAGGCACATACTCAGGCAAGAATCAGATACATTGTACCCAACACAGAAGCTAGCAATAATTAGCCACAAGCTAAAGACGCAGGATGAAATGTGGCAAGAAATACAGAACAGAACTTGCAAAAATGAAGGACAGAGCTTGCTAAAAACAGTGAGGAAATCACTGAAACAGCCAAGAAGAGACTGCACATGCTTAGAGGAGAAATGTGAAAAGGGCACGGTGATGAAGACCTCCAGCCTTCATCAGGAGACCACCGAGGAAGATGGGGAGCCTTCCTCAGAGGGTCCACAGCAGTGCACTGCACGTGTGCCTCGTGCATGCTAATGAAAATAGTGAGTTTTAAGAAATAGTTTGCATAACCACACCTTTTCTAAGGAAAACTATGAATATGCATAAGCCTTTCTGTGTTTGCCTTTATTTTAAAAAAGGGCCAAGTCTCTGATATCTGGGTTAGAAAACAATTAAATTGAGAGCACAGAAGCAGTTTAAACTGATTTTCTCTTTTTTTCTATAAGACTAGCATAAATTATGTTCAGATTGAAGCAGTGATGAAGAGAGATCATTCGTTTGTGAGCAATTGTCCAAACTTTGCAGCAGAACTGCAACTTATACTGTTCCATCTTGTCCTGGTTTTAGGGAAAATTTGGGAGAAAACCTCCAAAACTGGCCCCCCTAGAAAGACAACCCACACAGCCCCTCTCCCCAACTGGTTCAGGAAGGATTTCCTCAGAGAGAAGTGGAAAGAACCTGCTTATTTAACCAGCAAAGCACTCCCCAGCACACAAAATGAACAATACCAGATGATAAAACTGATTCGCTGCTCTGAAGAGATGACAAATTCAGAAAGTCTCCCCGGTGGCTGGTCGCTCTGTTATCAGTCCCTCCGGCGCTGGAAAGGCTGCAGAGTAGCCCCGGCAAGCTGCAGAGTACGATGTTTCCTCGGTGTTTCCCAGGGTCCCGGTCTGGAGCAGGTTCAAACGG